GGGGGGGGGGGGGGGGGGGCGCTGATTTTATAAATATTGTAACTCTCAAAGTACTCTCTAAACACTAATTAATGTGGTCTCCTCACAGCACAAGCTTTGCAAAACCTTTGTCACTAAAGCGGAAGCTGGATGCAACTTGCATCCTCTCAAGTTTTGTGACTGGTTCAAAATTGTGGGCAAGCCACACACCTAATCCAAGTTTCCGGTGACTCTGAGATGACTGACCACTTTACCTTGAAAGCACACAAGAATTTAGTGGCTCAAGCTGTGATTTTTTTTAGTTGTGTTTCTACAGCTTGCTCAAAACTGAAATGCAGAAAATGCAGGGTCTTTCACAAGTGAAGGTGGAGGCACAGGTCACCTTCCCTTGTGACTGACGGGACAACTTGAATTCTCCCTTTTCTCCTTTGACTAGCCCAGCTTACAACACGCATACAAGATAGGAGTGAGCTCAGCATTGCAGCTGGAACTGCTGAAACAAGGATGTCAGTTTATAAAGATGGAGACAGGTGCCTCATGAGGTTTTAAAAAAAAGCCCATTGAAATCAATGGAAGCTAGGTACCATAACCTGGTCAAGCAGTTCAGATATCCCGTTAAAGCACTTTTCTGGATCTTTTGATGCCTAAATGTGCTTGAAACTCTGGCCTAGAGTGTCAATGGCCTGATTTTTCAAAACAATGCCCTACCCGGCTGCTTCCCATTGTCAGGGTACCAGATTTTTAAAAATCTTAACACTTAATATGTTGAATTCTCTTGTGTCTTGCATCGTTTTGACATGAAGCAGATCAGTTGTACCTTGGTGCCATGATTCCAGATGCCTTGGTCTTCCTGCCGCTGAAGGGTAGTTCAATATGTCTCTGCTGTCTGAAAAGAGTTTAATATCCAAACGGGGAAAGCAGCCAGTTGGCAGAGGTTGCCATCTTTCTTTACTGAAATAAACCTCCCAATGAAAGGTTGGGACTGGGACTGGAGTCAATGAAATCAGTATTCCTGTGGGTTGATAGAGGCTCTGCTTCAGACACCAAAGTGACCCAGCAGAAAACAAACCAGAGGCCAAAATCAGCAGCTGTGCTGTACAAGAGAAGGTTTAACTGTCTTGGCCTCTGCACTTAGCAGTAGCAAGGGACTAGGTAAAATCAACCTCATGCTAACCCTTAAGGAGAGACCAGGCGTCTTTCAGCCCCATGTGTCCAGGTGGCTGGCATCAGTAGGGACTTACTGTAATCCTGGGGGTTTGAGCTTCAGTGTGGATGATGGGCCAGCACCCCCAGTTCCCCACAGTTGTGCTTTGCAAGCATTTTGAGAAGCTTCTCATTTGCAGAACACACATTTGTTATGTAATAAGCGTCAAGAATTAATGATCCACGCAGCAGCTGAGAAAACTTGCCTGCTAAGCACTCTTAGAAAAAATAACTGGTGTTTGTCTGTTTGTTTGCTTTATTGATGGTTCGGCTGGCGCATCCATTCCTGAAAACCAGAAGCCTCCTCCACAGCCCCTCCGGACAGTCAGGCTCATCCCTTGGCATGTGCATTCTTGCAGGGGACAAAACTGCTCCCCCTTTCCCCAGGCCCCTTCCCTTTGGAGAGGTAGCGCTTCCACCTCTTGTGTTATGAATCACGAGGTTAGCAGCTTCTGGCAGATCGTAAATCAGTACTTCGAAGTCACTAGGACAAATCCCAGGACATTTAATCTTTAATATTAGACGTGTTTAAGGCGGTGAATATTTCATGAAAGTGCTGTTGCATTTTAGCACATCATTAGCTGTCTCTTTTTTTTTTCTGTCTCCCCACTTTGCTGACAGTTCTCCTCCAAATCTTCACAGCCGAACCCCCCCATTTCCTTTCCCTCTGATAACAAAGCTCCTTACATTAATCCCCATGAGACATTTTAAGGTCTCTTAGGAAGTGAGAGAACACACTTATGTTTGACAGTGTGTATTAACTCTGTCGGGGTGTCTCCCTCTCCTCTTACTCCCATCATGTCTTTCCTACACCCTATTGGCTGGGGCCAGAGGGAGTGGCACTGGTTTAAATGCACTCTCAGACATGGTGCATACATGCGTGCACACCTCCCCAACTGTCACTGTGTTTAAAACTCAGCCCAGAGCCCTGCTAGGTGAAAACATTAGCTGAAGGGGAAAAGGAGGTGGGGAGAGGAGTGGAAAAATCAACACAAGCTTTTAACGACGAGCACACGTGCAAATCCAATTAATTTTTTATTTTGTCATCTCTTGCTCCAGGATATGTATTTCTCCCAAACACAGAATCAATTTGGGCCAAGCAAAGTTAGGTCTCTGGAGTGGAAAATTCATGATGCCTTCACTCCCTCTGCAGCAAGAGGGATGAGGAGAGCGGTTTGGAGGTCCAGCTAGGAAGGGGACCATAGCGAGAAGGGTTGAGTGGCAGAACTGAGTAACAGATCAAATAAAATTGTTGTTGTCATCATGTATCTCCTTTTAGGGAGGAGGACTGCTGTCTTCATCACATCTGTGAGCCTGGGGTGGGAGTGGAGCCTTTCTGCAAGCATACTTGGGGACTGTTCACATTAAGAGCAAGCTTTGGTCCAAGGTTTTAGGGAGGAAAGAGTGAGATGTGAGAAATGAGTCAAGATTACTTCTGTCAGGGGAGACTGGGTGGCTTGCACGACTGGTGAGGAGATAACGGAGACCTTATTTATTCAGGGGGCTGGTGTGACTCTTTCCCAGCTGAGGAGGAGATCGGAAGCTGTTGCGATGAACTGGTGGTCACGGATAGCATCACATGTGTGTGCACAATTCATGGAGCCCAGCTGCAGCCAAGGGACAGGGCCCAGCATGGACTAGGGGAGGAGAATAACTTTTAAACGTGGAGAGCCGCAGGGACAAAGTCAGTCTTTCCCGACTTTGAGGGCCATTACCTCGGCTATGTTACTCTGCTGAAGTCTGCCCTTGCTAAATCAGATTCCTCAGTGCACTCATTTAGGGCCACATCCTGCAGTCTTGATTCAGGCCAAGTCTGTGAGAAGGTGTGCCGCCTCAAGTGACAGAGGAAGGCTCCGGGACTTCGTCTGTCAGAGTGCTGCATTTATCTGTGCTGCAAGACTGCACTTCATGCTCCTTCTGCCTGTAGCAGGGAGCAGATGGATGACCTGATCCTACTCTGTGCTAAGCACCCTTGCTTCCTGGGGGTCCTGTATGGAGCAGTGGGAGGTACCGAGGTGCAGAACTTTGTGCTGACTGCATGGTCTGTCTCTAACAGAAGAATCAGCCCCAAAACTATTCAGTCTTCTTTAATCTCTTCCTTCTTCCTGTGTGTTGAGCTGCACTGCAATGTAGCTGCACTCAAGGCAGGACCAGGCAGAGGGATAATCTTTTATAAAAGGTGGAGGGGGCTAGCTGAAACTCAGAGAAAGCTGCAGAGAGTCACAGGAACAGAGAACTGGGAGGGAATGGTTCATTGAGTCCAGTCCCCTGCTATCACAAGTGTTGCATCGTATAATCCCCTTCATAAGCTTATTGTGTCTCTTTACCTTTCTCGAGCTCATCACCCTAAGATGAAGGGACAGTCTGAAGCTGTTTTGGATCCACGCTGCGAATGCATGGGAGGAAGCAGTGTGAGGACTATTAGTATTGGCATCTGTGGATAAGCAGGCGCATGGATGGCAGGCTGCAGGAGTCCTACACAGGGATTCCTCACGTCTTCCCTGCAGACCAGAAGTTTAATCTCTCTCTCTCGTTTCCCTTTCAGGAGAGTGCAGCTGCCATGAAGGCTATGCCCCTGACCCAGTGCATCGACATCTGTGTGTGCGCAGTGATTGGGGACACAGTGAAGGGTGAGTGGAGAGAAAACCTACCAAATTTCAGATAGAAAAGCTGGAGCTGTGCTCTTCTCCCTTGATCTCCTCCTTGCACATTATTGCAGATATTGCTAACATGCATAGTAAGGTGTAAACCCAGCTCTGGGCACCACTGGTGCCTTTGACCCTCAGTGTTTTGCCTTTCCTTGCTGACTGACCTACTCTCCCTCTTTGTTTCTCAGGCCTTGGCCCTACACAACACTTGAAAGGGGCTATGACTTAGTCACAGGAGAGCAAGCGCCAGAGAAAATACTCAGGTATATTGAATGATGTGTCAGTGTGCGTGGCTGGGCGGGGGGGGTGGCGTGCCTGTTTGGGTACCGTTGTGATAGGCTTTGTGATCAGTAGCTCCTGGCACCATCCTGTACTGCTGCTTGCCGATCTCTTGAAGGATAGCAAGGCCTCTTCTCTCATGTGGTCCCCATCCTCTTGGCATGTGCCTGATCAGGAATCAGCACTGAAGGACGCATGAACAGAAATGTCCTGGTGTTCCCCTCTGTGGGTTAAATGCAGACAGTTCACAAACTGTGCTCTGTCTGCCATTCCTCCCTTACCCCTCCTCTTTGCTATTCCTGTCTCATTTCCCAGTGCTTGGCTTTCTGAAGAGAGAGGCCCAGAGGCTTTGTAGTACATCCCATGATGCCATCAAACAGCCCCTGGTGCTGTAACTACCAGACAGTCAGATACTGAAGAAAGGCCTAGCACTTGCTATGTATTTCCTGGTTTTATGCTATACTCTTGTCTTCCTTTTAGGTCCACCTATAGTTTGGGTCAGGGGCTCTGGCTGCCGGTCAGTAAGAGCTTTGTGGTTCCACCTGTGGAGCTTTCCATCAATCCTCTTGCCAGCTGCAAGACAGATGTACTGGTGACAGAAGACCCAGCAGATGTCAGGTAGGGAACACATCTCTCTCACTGAGACAACTCGTAAAAAGATGAAATGTCCTACCCTTTTGGTGGGCTCCTTTTCTTCTAGGCTGAGTGCTTCTTGGTGTACTTTATAGGGTCATTTTTCAGCATGTTGCCTGGGATCAGCAGTGAATCTGCATAGGTGCTGGATGTTCACCTGCCATTAGGCATCTCCTGTATCAGTCCATTCCCAAAGAAGATCACGTTTTCTATGCCCCCTGCCTCCTCCCATGTCTCTGTTCATGTCTGAGGTGATAGAGCTCCACTTCAGTTGTTGATCTAGTGGAAACCTCTGCAAAGAGACTTTTGATGCAGCTTCTTCAGATATGAAGCTGTTCCGTTGTCTAGTTTTGAGGAACATAGGCCAGCTCTGCACATACAGTTGCTTGGACTTACCTAAAGGCATGTTTTTAAATCCAGTTATACTGATGCAGATCCTGTGTGGAGCCCTCAAAGCAATCTACACCTGGCTTCTGGTGGTGTGGCTTGCATTCGATGCTATTACCAAGGCAGAGTAAGAAGTCAGAAGTGTCAGCAGCTCAAGTAACTAGCAAGTGTCACTAATGCATACAAGCAGGAAAATGGAGTCTCTGCAAGGTCCAAGGTGGGTATAGGGAACAATGTCAGAAAGAATACTTGGTTACTTGGCAAAGAGATTATCTTTTAGAAGCACTTACGTAAATGTCAACAGATCTGAACCCAGGAAATAGTTCTCTTGGTTTTCAAAGCACGAGGCACTAGCTGCAGGCAGAAATGAAGGGTGAAGAGAAACGTGCGTTTACACTGCCTTCAGCACATTGCCGGCCTTCTGTTTGAGCTGCGTTTTTTCCCCTGGTGTTTCTCTGAAAACCTAGTGGATTCTGTTTGGTTTTCTGACTTGGGCTATTCTTTTCCCCAGGTGCCATCTGGCTTGTGCCGGGTTTAGTTTGGAAGCTGTATCGAAGGGTGTAGGCAGAAGAAAAAGCAGCTCTGCTTGTGGAGAAGGCTTGTATGGTCTAGAGTGTGGGTGTGTAGGAAGTATTGGGGCAGGGGGGTTGCCTTACAGTCATTACCATAGGCAAGTCACTTGTACACCCTGTACCTGCTGCACAGTTGGGTGTAAAGCTAGATTTCAGGGAGACCCAGCTACCATGCTGCAGCAGAGCTGTGATGGCTGTCAGCTGGACCAGGGTAGCAGAGGTGCAGGACACACCCCCTTCTTTCCCTAATATGTGAAGGTTTGACATATCCTCTCACAGCACAAGCTCCCTTCTTATACCCCTTCTCCCAGCCATCTGGCATTTCTAAAGTCAGACGGAGATTGAGAGAATATTTGAGTTTTGCTGTATGGAAACTTTGGGCTATTTGGCCTCTCTATTCTAGATACATGCTCCCCTTTCCCCTGAATGTGGGGCCTCCTGTGTATCCTTGTCTCTGATGCAACACTGCTCTTTGGGTGGTAAGCTCCACTGAGTCTCTCTCTGTCTCTGCACTCAGTAGCATGAGTAATGTTGTTGGTATAGTTCCTATCTTCCTTTATGTTAGCAGCAAGCTAGACCCAAAGTCAGCTTTAGGAGAGCAGCATTTGGAGGAAGCAGCTAGGCGTCAGCACTTCTGGGTCCCATTATCTTTCTGCAGTGCCCCTACCCTCTGTGCTGTGCCAGCCCTCCCATTTTTCCTCACAGTCAGTTTTGCACCTGCTTTCTCCTCACCTTTGTATTTTGCATGTGCTCCTCCCTGGGCTTCTCTGGAGAGCTACTACCTTCCCCTACTAAAGTTTGCCTTATACCATGACACCTCCAAGATGCCCGTGCTGTGGTGTAGCCATTACCATTTGGCTACCAGGGATACTAGCTGGGCATTTACTGAACATAAATCCCAACTATGGGGACAAAACAATGCCCTGTTTCGCTTTTGTCCCTTTTTCTTCTCCCCCTGATGTGCTAGTTTTCTCATTTGTGCTGTAAGATATTATGGTACTTGGGCTTCAAGGGTATATATACCTCACCCAACACGTTGCCGGTATTCTTGGACTAGAAATATTTTGCTCCAGAGTACTGTGTATCAGTTGCACCTATTCCCTCTCGTCTACCTGGCCACCTCAGTGCAAACTGTACAATGTGTCCTATCTAAAGTGCTTTAACTCTACAGAGCTCAGATCCCCTAGACAGATTTTTTTTGTTATCCAACCCAAAGCTTTCTGTGAGACAAGAATGCATTAGCCACATTTAACCGATTGACATGGACTCTGGGGAGGAGGTTTAAGTGTCTTGACCAAAATCATGCAAGAAGTCTACAGCAGAGCCAGGATGCCATTCAGTGCTTTTGCTACTAAACTTTGGCTCAGCTTTCAACAAGTAGCTGCATATTACGCCTCCCACCTATGGGACTGTAGCGAGTGTTACTCTGTTTGCAAAGCATGGTGTGGTGCTAGAATGAAAGGGGAAGGGTCAATGTGTTACTGCATTTTTAATGTCTCCCACCCCACCGAGCCAGGAATATGTCACCCCCACCACCCTGCCATCACTGCATTTTAGTTCAAGCTATCTTAATAAAGGCAAAGTCTATTAAGTTCACTTTCCTCTTGGCTACAGTAACTGTCTTTTGACAGTGATCCTCATAGAAAGTTCCTGGGATCACTTGCTCCTGGCAAGGGGGTGAAAGGATAAGCATCAAGGAGGGTGGGGGGTGGCTTCTGAAGCTGAGAACATCGCCTACTCCCTGGTAAACGAGACTTGAATCTAGAATTTCAGATATAAATATTGGAGTGACCCAGGTAGAATAAAGGGAGAGCAGTTCACCAAGCTTGTATCTCACATGCAGGAGATGCTAAATTATTAAAACTTTAATAAACGTAATAATAAATATTTGATGTTGAATTATGGAAGGTTTCACGATACAGTGCAAGCCAAAAAACCATCTATTATATCTGCATTAGAACTTAAACACTTCTCAAGCGGGGATCAGGTTGTCAGCTCAGGTTCCTGGCTATCCTGTGATGGATGAAAACCAAGGTGATGCAGTCGTAGCTTAGTGCTGCCGGCTTTTGAGTGTAACAGATGGAGGGTAGTCAAACAGTGTGCTGTTTCATAGAAATAAAGGCCACAGTGATCATTGGATCTGCAAGTCTGGCCACCTGTGTATCACAGGCTATAAAGTTTCACCAGGACTTTCTGTATGTAGAGTTTAGTGATTTAGAATAAATATTTCATTCCTCAAAAAGCTAGAAAGTGCATCACATGTAGAAAACAGGAAAAATCAGGGCATTGCCATTAATATATGTGCATATAGAACAGGGGTGGGCAAAATGCAGTCTGTGGGCCGGGAGTGGCTTGCCAGGCCATTCTGTTTGGCCTACGGGGCCCTAAAAATTTTAGAAAATTAATATTTATCTACCCCTGGCTCCCTGTCATGCGGCCCTCAATGGCTTGCTAAAACTCAATAAGTGGCCGTCCACCAAAAATAATTGCCCGTCCCAGTATAGAAGCTCAAAGCAGAAGGGACACTATTTCTTGAATTGCCATCTTAAAAAGTATGCCTGTAGCATCCTTAATGCTTTTTCTTTAATCAGAATGTCCTTTTTGCTGTTTTGAAATCTTCATACAAAATATCTCAGTCCCTTGAAGTTTTTAAAGGCAGATAGGCAGATTCCAGGACCGAACATTTGCTGCAATGCTGAGAATAGGCGATGCCATCATGCCTACTGTCCTGTCTCAGTGCTGGAAGTTTTGAGGTGCTTTTTTGTAACCAGAAAGCTGCTTTGAAAGTTTAGTTTTGCAGTAAATAATCAAACACACCCTCTTCTCATCTCTTCACTCTATCTATCTGGTCTATCTAGCTGGATGGGTGGAGGACAGATAACACAACTGTCTCTCGGGGGTGTCGTTCTGAAGTAATGACTTCCAATATATGACCCGGCTCTTGGGCACTGCAATGGAGTAGCTGCATTGTTATCGTATCGCTGCACCTGGAAGTTCCTATTTGCAGAGCTGCAGTGCAATGGGAGTCATACGGTCATGTCCCTATGGTGGAAGTTCCCGTTGGTTGTGCGGTGAAGCATTCTCTCTAATACTGTCATGACCCAGAGCCAGGGGTTCTCATATCTTATTCTGCAAAACTGTAGCGGTTGCAGCCATCTGAGCCCTCTGAGGTTCCTGTTCGCTGTAGTGTAATGTTGTAGCAGCAATTCAGCCCGTGTTCCTTTCATGTCCTTAATAACAAGCGTGCTGCGTTCCTTCAGACTTTCATTAGTCGGTCACCTTTTGGACCAAGGGTCACATGCACCAAAAAGTTTAATGGACGAAAATTGCAGAAAGCCTGCTTTTGAGGGAGAGAAAAACACATACAAAGTCTTTAGAACTCAAAGGGTAAGGGTCTGAGGGTGGCCTTTAGCTTTTATGAAGCTGCTTGAGACTGTGAAAAAGGCAGATAGAGACCTCCCTTTCAGTGTCTGTTCAGTTAAGTGTTGGCTCCTGCTTCGCCCTGTTGTTCAGAGGGGATATTGTTCTTGTGCTGTGCCGCTGAGTGGCATGGCAGCAGTCAGCTGCGTGCGCTGACCCTGTGCAGTGTCTCTGGTGAAGCAAGTCAGCAGCCTTGCTTCTGCAGGTCTGAGTTCAAATGTGGACCTTGAGAAGCTGCTTTAGAAATGTAAGAGGGAAAATATATCCTCTATAGTAATCAGGAGTTAATTCAGAGAAGTGCTGTGGTCTGTGTTGTACAGGCGGGCTGACTAGGTTGCCATATCAGTTGCTTGTAGCCTGATAATCTATGAATCTACAAATTACAAAACGTATTCCATCCTATGTGCCTCTCAGTATATGTTAATCAGGACTCATAGTAGAGATGATAGCTTTTATTAGACCAACAAGATTTTTGCAAGAAAAAATCTTTAATTGAAAAATGTTTTTGCAAAAATCTTGTTGGTCTAATAAAAGATATCATCTCTACTATGAGTCCTGATTGCCTTTTCCTTGAGACCAATATGGCTACAACCTGGATACCTCTCA